ACGCCTTGTTACCGTACAAGCATGTACGGATTTGAAACCAACAAACATACGAGAGATATTTGTAAGTGCTCCCCTTGTTTCGTTAAGTTCCTTCAACTTCCGCGATTCTGAATGCGTGCCTGAGAGTTTGGGGGCAGACCCTGCAATTGGTCTAGATTGCTCGGTAGAAGGGTTTAAATTGACACCTGAGACAAGTTGAATTGCCGGGACAGGCCCTTGAATTGGCCTGACAGGGATATGAATTGGCCTGGCAGGGACATTCCGACAGTCAGAATTAGCCTGACAGGGATACGAATTAGCCTGGCGGGACATTCCGACAGTCAGAATTAGGCTGACAGGGTGTCGAATTGGCCTGGCAGGGACATTCGGACAGTCAGAATTAGCGTGTTCAGGGTGTCGAATTAAGGAAGCACGGGAATTGTGCGACCGGGGCAGTCAAAAGAATTGCTCTGCCCGACAGTTTGTCCTACCCTCTAGTTGGACTATAGCTACTTTCCCATTTCACAGACGTGGACGAGCGCGTGGCGCCAGTTACGGCATAATAGGTATGCATAAGTTCAAATTTGGACCTAGAAACGAAAACTAACGGATGCGGCACGGCAAAAGGTGAACCGACCCATTGTCACCGGTGGGTAGCTTGTTATTACCCGTTATGACCAGACGTTACTATGCTATGGCAATTCGAAGGTTAAAACACGAGAAAAAAACGCGTGTTGGTTCTGAAAATTTTGTCAAATAGAAATGCCAAGGTTCTCTGACGACCTCAAATAAGAAAAAGCAAGGGTCCGCCGCCTTCGGAGAGTCCCGAGATCGCTCACTTCATGTTCTTGAAAGTTGGGGAAGTGAAACAAGAAGGGACCATTCAAAACTATAACTTCAATGTAAGCGGTATTAAAGCGCGGCTTACTTTCGGGCGCACACACAGCTGGTGTGGGAAGCAGACAGAGGTTTAGAACCTCCCACCTTGCCATCCAATCCCAAGAGCCGCCGCAAGCATACAGCACACAAAAAGGGTGCAATTAATAATAATGCACGTACGTTAACAGTACTAAATTAATGTAGAATGTTTTTGTTTGCGAATAAAGGAGAACGCCTTGGAAAAACAAAGACGCCTTCACCAAAAGGAAACTAAGGAAAGCATGCATAGCACAGCATGCAAGCGTTTACCATGAGCTGGCCCTCGGCAGTCGTGCGGTAGTCATCCGTTGCCTTTGCAAAATACAGTGGGGCTCCTCAAACACCCTCGGTGCGCTGCCGCTGCATGGACGGGGCCTTATGTCCGGGACCCTCAGCCGGGGTGTTCGGTTCTCGTGCCGTATTTCAATTTCACCGAGGAATAACGGCCTGTCCTTCGACTTGTGCACATTCGTTCGCAGCGTTATACAACCACAGCATTTGTTCTCCAGCTCAACCGGTTGGCTAGTAAAAGTTACCATTTGAATAGCTCCATTTTCAAACCTTTTCAAAATCACAAGGGATTGTGACTCTGGCGAGGCAAGGTGTGTGTGTGCTGGCCATGTGTACGGCATGTACGAAGACTTTACCGACTTTACCGGTAATCGTCGCTACACGCGGCCAACATAACGGTGGTGGAAGGTTTATTCTTACACCGTGTATACAGCAGCGACAAGGCGTGAACAGTGAAAAAAGAGGTTCGTATAAAAACACCTGCCGTATCGGATATATCCGGTGGGGAAGGGCGACTGGGCAGTGGTCCTCCGCCTCACGCACGCACATCCCCTCTGCCTGGCTAAGATGCATATGCCCGTAGCCCATACCGCAGTACACGCCAACCCAGCGACAGCCTGCCTGCCGCACCAGTCTAAAGAAGCACGTATCAGTGGACAAAGGCTCCATAGTGACAGACAGACAGACAGGCAGGCACGCGCACGTGCAGCATAGGAAAGCAAACAAATCCTACGGGTCACGTTCGTATGTATGTATGTATGTGTATGTATGTATGTATGTATGTATGTATGTATGTATGTATGTATGTATGTATGTATGTATGTATGTATGTATGTATGTATGTATGTTGCGTGAAGGTTTCTCACACTCCCCAACAGCACTGCTCAAGCATGCATCCGCTAAAACTTCCTCCTCCTCCTCATCATCATCATCAGCAGCAGCATGGGCAACGCCTGCAGCAACCAACAAATAAACCCTGACATGCCGTACAGTGCTTTGGGTACTGCGAGAACATTCCTCCCCCCATCAGCATCCACCACTACCTGCACTCCCCGAAACTGGCATAATGTGTATAGGCGTCATTAGCCGCCGTACAAACAATTGTTTTCGTTTCAATAAGAGCTATGGTGCACCATTGCATGACGCGAGTCTTTAGCTCCCCAGTGCAGTTGGCTCCAATATAAAAGACATATAAGACATTCAACCAACCATAATACCTACCACTAAAGCAGAAGTGATAAACAATTGTACATACTTGAAACTTCCTGCGCCGCATGTTAATCGGCGGTTTTCATCGTCGTAACAGATAAACCTGCTCAGGCACTTAAAACACAAATCTCAATGCAACATGCAG